AATTTTTCTCAATTCTCCCCAAATCTTGGCAATTTTAGGGTCATATTTAACTTTAGGCGAGAGAGAGAGAACAGCAACAACATGCAACGTATGTTAACTCTCATTAGCTTTTTAAGTGATTGGTCTGGAACGTTGGTCGTCCCGATGTATATGTAAGCCTTTGATCCTCTCGTAATAACCAGTAACTGAAATGGTCATTAAAGTATTAGCCTGAATAAGCATTCAATGCCTCCCCAAGGCTTGTAAACAACAAACCAAAGGAATCTAGAGTGGATGCAGATTTGTGCGTTAATATATCAATCGAATATGTACTTGGAGTAAGATTCTAGAAGTCATGGATAATTACTGACGACAGGAAATAGACATTCCTTGACTCAGAAACAGATCTCGTATCTAAATACTGATAAGTTTGCAGTAGTGTCACCGAAAGGTGTACAGTGTAAGTACATGTTCGTAAAATATTGCCCAAGTCATAGCTTATGATGATCTGTCATTAAGATTGCCAACCCTAAACGGTGTTCGTCTAACCTGCTCAACATCTTCACGCTTAATTTTGTCACAGACTAAATGCAGTCATCTGAAGTAGTAAACTACTTCACTCCTTATGATTTATCTGAACCTTGATGCAGACTATTGCCGAAGGAATCACATTGAGAGAAACCCATCATAAATCTGATCCTATTATTATTTTTCGGGTTCAGATGAATGCATTTAATCTGTGACAAAATTAAACGTGAAGATAGTGAGCACGTTAGACGAACACCGTTCGGGTTTGACATTCTTAGTGACAGATCATCATAAGCTATGACTTGGGCAATATTTTACGAACATGCACGGACTCAGTAGGTTCGGTTGACTTGTTACTTTTAAAGCCAGTGAGATATTCATTTCTAAATTAAGGTCCAAAGCAGCAGCCCAATCTCTTACTCTATGGAAACAGATATACAAAGGCTGCATGTTTTTGGGACCATTTCCAGTGTATTGTAGAGAAACCAAACGAGGAAGGTTAAACAAGGAATACTAAGAAAATATACCAAACCGGTTGATGAGGGTTCGAATTGTAATTGATTGGAGTAGCTAAGACATCACGAAAACCCAACCACCATCTACATCAACATGTAGTTTTAACTAGTGTGGAAACAGGTAAAAGCACTTTTGAATACTATTCCATACAAATGTAATTGGACAAAAGTTGGCACTACAAAATATACCAATGTTTAACTTGCTTTGTAACGGTTTGCCGAAACTAACCTAACCTAATTTAGGAATACCTAGTGTGAATCTCAAAACAATTGGAATAGGAACCTGAAGCTTTAAATATGACTACAGAAAGTATTTATCAGTTCGACTGCTCCTGTGGAACAAGTTATATTGGTCGAAGTTCTAGGAATTTACATTTTCGTACTCGTGAACACCTCCCAGCCTGGATAAACAAGGGTTTCGTGAAGAAAGTGAACAGCTCAATATTGGCCCATTTATTACAAGCTAGTTATAGTACCAGTATAAACCAATCCTTTTCAATTATTTATAAGGTCAGTAATTTTTTGCCTAAGCTTGTCACATTTAAAGTCCTTCAAACGGCTGAAAGTAGGTAGTAGCCATCTAGATGAAGGAACCGGAGCTATATGTACAGAACAAATATCTTCAACCACTCCTGCTCTATTGGCCAACTAATCAATAGTAATCTTAGATATTGAATGACCTAATTTGACTATTATACTACTTACGACCTTTCATAGTCAAATGTAATTGTCTTTGTTATCTTTATTCACAACTCTTCGTTTGGTTAAACATCATTATTAATCTCCCCCATACATGATTCATTCACTTGTCATTCATCCCACCTTACAAATTTTTCATACAATATAGTCTTTCATTGAACATTTGATCGAATAGTAATTGTACCATATTATTTCTCTCTCACCCTATTTGATCCATATTTATTTGGATCAAGGATCACTTAACATATAGGCAGATTCAAATTACACATTGCATATAAGTCATATCAACATGAACAATTTTATTGTATTTTGTTTGACAATCCTACAGTTCATATACTTTAACATTAAACGATGTACTTTGTTCTTAATCTGATCATTTTTCGGGATTATTAATTGACATTATATAATTGTAGAACCTGAAATGAACTTATCGATAAGAATAGTCTTCATTCATAGATTAATCTTTTATAAAAATAATAATTACAAAATTTACACCAATTGTGATTTCATCTCAGTCCTACAGGAGGTCGGTTGCGGCCCGGATAGCTCAGTGGTAACGTCTCTGACTGTGAAGCTGGGTGACACGGGATCGAATCCGCCAGGGAGCACCAGTTCCCTCAAAGATTACAGCTACACCTTGCTAACGAGTGACAAGTAGTAGCACGAAACCCGGGTCCAGGGTTTCCTGTCGACTACCTCCAACCACCATCTAATCTTACAATAGTGCAGGCAGTGTCGAGTCACTTAGACTGGTGGCCAGATTGCAGCATGATCGATAGCATTCGATCTGCACTAATAATAAGGACTAGACACGCATGACATTGGTCACCACCCAGTGATCAATCAATTGTGATAATTTACACCAGTTTACAGGTAGAGAACAAACATGTGATATAAGATAGTTTAAAGTGTACTAGTTCAATAATTGTCTAGGTAGTACATATATTAAAATAATCCAATATATCAGCCGGGAACTTTTAATTTTTCTTAAGTGGACAGCCTGTTGATTTATGAATGGTGTATTTAAGATCATTAATTATCATCTACAACTAGAGAAAGTTGAATAGAAAGAGAGATCACAGAACAACAAAGCAATAATTGTCAGAAGGGGTTTTGTAGAGATTTTAGAAATTTTAATAGTTCAAATCATGAGTCAATTGAAGCTAGACCACCATGAAAAACTTAGAAACACTGGACGGCCGTTTCGTCCGAGTATAGGACCCCTCAACAGTGTTCATCTACGATTCCACCCCCTCCCGCGAGATTTGTGGATTGGTTGAAGTTAGACATTAACACCGTTGGATGCCCGCTCAGTGGTCTAATGGTTAAGCGCTCGCGCGCGAAAATGGTAGGTTCGGATCTCGCGGGTGGGGGCGGGATTGTGGATGCGCACTGCTGAGGAGTCCTTTATGTGCGCAGTACTAAGAATAAACAAGCCGTATTCCAGAAGTGGTTGAACACAAACTTTGTGCATTAAAATACGTGACATATTGTTATAAAGGTTTCGAATTATGTAACCTATAAGACGTTGAGACTTGGAAGTGTGTTTCAATATCTGTTCTGTAAACGACAAATCTTAGGAGTACCTAAGTCCACTACTACTGTATGTAACCTAGATAACACTTCACCATTTATGGTAAGATCTAAGTTAAATGATGTATCATCGAAGCATATTTATCTACAATTAGTTGTATTAAGCTACCATTTTCGCACCACTGTATTCCTTGTTTGTATGCCCAACCATCGACTGCCCCGACGAGCGATGCTCTATGGTGTAGGAGTAGGTTAGAGGGAATCTAGGGGCGGACTCATCAAAACATGGCACAAATTCATGAAGTCACTGACAAGTAGACTGAGCCATGTTCGTAGGTGTAAACTACTTGGTTGGGATCCACGAGACGACAGCAACCGATGGTTAGAGACCTTGAATCACATGGCTCAAAATCGTTTACAATGGTGCAGGTGCATCCACTCTTTGTGTTCTCCAAAATTCTAATCTTCTGAATTCTTCATGTCCCTTTCTTTTTTTTTCTTTTTCCAAATTTATTTCTCTGAATGATACTCTTTGCAAAACACCTTCAAACCCTAATCTATCCGATTACTGCTTATACTCTTACTACCTATACCACTACGGGATTTGAATGGACAATTGTGTCTGTGTGCTAATGTGGTATGGCAACTCGAACTGATGTACCTACGTACGTGCGTACGAAGTTCTACGTTATTACTGACTGACTGTCCTCCATGCACTACTTAGCCATGTAGTTCATCGTATGAATACCCTAAGATGTTGACGATTTTCTCAGGTATTCCATAGTTTCGAAGAATTCTCCATAATGTTCTCCTATCCACAATACAAATGCTTTCTTATAATCAATGAAATTGATATATAGTGATAAGTTGCATTCGATTAATTGTTCAACGATGATTTGTAGTGCCGTAATTTGTTTAGTGCACTACCTCTACCATCACTATGAGATTTGAATCAACAACTCCGCACTAATATGGCAACTCGAACTGATGTGCCTACGTACGTACGTACGTAGTATGAAGTTCTACGTTGCTACTGACCGACGGATTGATTGAATATCTTTCAAAACGATTAACTAATTCATATTTCTATTGAATTAACTCCATTATGAATCTTATAATGAATATCAATAGAATAAGTTATTCCCTTTTTTTTTCTTATTATTTCAAATGGAAATTTTCTATTTTAATTAATTCAAGTAAATATTCACAATCATTAATAATATGGATATCTGTGATTGAATTAAAGAATAATAAGCAATTTAAAAAAAAAAAGAAGAAAAAACAGAAAGAAAGAAAGAAAAAGAAACAATTCATGAAGAATATCCACTTATCTGTTATCAATGTTTATATACATGTACATTGTACATTCCCCAATGAGTACACACACTAAAACAAAACAAGTTGAATGTGTTACCATTTTGTTGTTGATTGTTTATTCAACTGTGATTGTTTGTATAAACGAGAAGGAAACAAACAAACAAACAAACAAACAAACAAACAATGTAAAACAATAATAATAGGGATGAAAATATGTACCATGTTTACAATATATATGGTGTTTGATGATGATGACAGAACACAACCACCAATCTTGATTTATACAATATAATCTAATAATATCAAATTTAAGTAATAAATGCGAATAAGTTTTTTTTTTTATATAAAAAACAACAACAGAGGAACTGAAAAACTTGACTAGTTTTTATCTCTTTTAAAAAATACAAACCAAAACCAATATAATAATCATCATTGCCAAGGTTTTGATGGTTGATTGTAAATATTCACAGGTTGAGAATAGAATGGATGCATTGAAGACCATAAATGTGTAGGTGGAACAGTTGAATTAAGTTGAGGAGGAGGAGGAGGATATCTAACAGTCATAGGAAGTAGACCGGGATTAGGGGTAGGAGAGATGGTAGAATTTACACATGGGATAATAGGTATACAAGGTGGACCAAGTAAAGGTTGATCTCTGGATTTATTATGATAATATGGAGCAATCTCAGGACGATATTCTAAAGAAGGTTGATGAAAAGTATTCGATGAAGATGATATATCTTGAAAACGTGGTAGATTATGTCTATTGATATCATCGTCAGGCAACAATGATGAAGAACGTGGAGAATATGCTCCTTTACGACTGGTCTTAGGAAAATTAGAATTTGATCCTCTTGGTCGATAAAATGAATAACGAGGCTGAGATTCAGAACCACTGGATGTTGATGAATCTACATAAGTGCCTAGTAGTGAAGGACGACGATGATGACGCTCACTAGACCAGTTTGCTGGAGGTCGTCGATAATCAGTGTCCTCTTTATGACCATTGAAAATTTCATCGTCGCGATCCGAGAATGAATCATCATTCTTTTTTCTTTGTATACGACGTGTACGTAGCATATGACGATACACATTAGATGGATAGAAGTTACCGTAATGTTTTACAGATCGGTGGTCATATTGTCGCATATCTTCGTCCTCTAAAGACACTTCACTCTCTTGAATAGAATAATCTGATAATTCTGTAGAATTGAATGTCTCGTCTATCAGTTTATACTCATCTTCATCACGAGAAACACTTTGTGAACTATCGATTGAGATAATTGCTTGCCGATCAGCATCAATATTAGGTTCGGGTTCTACATTCCCGTGTTTAGCTAAGTGATTCAAAATATAGCCAACTTGTAAGCGCTGAAATGAACTTGGATCAACTGATGAGTCTTCGTCTTCTTCCTGCTCTTCTTTCTTATCACTATTCTTACGTGGGGTACTTACACTATGACTAGTGGTCGCTTTATCCCGTGTTTTAAAATGTTCTCTATCTCGAGATGAGTGTGTTATTTGCCGATTTTCAGATTTACGACAAGTACTGATGTTAATATGGTGTTTGCCTTGCATCAATTCTTCATTGACATTGTCACAGTCATCTCCATCATCATCGTCATCTATTACTTCACCTTCTTCGTTTTCATCAACAACAGGTTTGGTAAAATTTATTGATGGTAAATCCGTTGAGGTGATTGGATCGATGCTTGTGTTACAGACAACAGGTGTATTATTATTGTTATTATTATTATCATTAATATTGAGATTCTTATATTGATTAGTGTTGCCAATTGAATCCTGGCTTTTGTTATCACTACTATTCAAACTTGTTCGATTATTATTATTATTATTATTATTATCGTTATTATTACTATTACTAATAATAATCTTGTCACTATTATTCTCATTGTCAATACAGTTGTGGCTTTGACACTGATCAATATTTTCTTTGGAATGTTCCGACTTTATTTCGACATAATTATTTTTTCTATGCTGAGCTGCTTGGTGCGAACTCCGTTCTGATTGCTGTGATTTAGACGGATGTCGCTCTCTTCTCTTCTTTATATTTGAATGGTGACAATCCCTTCGACCTTTGATAGACGTGAATGAATTGGAATCTGTCCCAGTTACTGAAGAATCATTAGAATATGAACGATAATGACGACTATGGTAATAACAATCTGAGTCACTATATGATGGACTCTTTCGATGCCGACGGGAAGAATACCTGTACGGAGACTCCTCATCATATATTCGACGACGAGGTGTGCGCCGTCCTCTATCCCTAACGTTTCTTGAGCGAGAGTGACCAGATGAACGATGGTGATGATTTGAATAACTAGATTTAGGCCTTTCCTTAGAACTATACTTTGAAGTAGGTGACGACCTATGATACCCACGAAATGATGAATTCGATTTTGATCTATGATAACTAGGACTCCGAGATCGGCGATTCGTATCATGATCATAATCATTATATTTATGATTATATTTACTGTCTGCATATGTAGACAACCTGTGAGGGCGTTTAACAGTAGATTTGGTTGACCAATGTGTAGAAGAATTATGTGAATCATTGGGTGGTGGTGTAGATCGCCGGTAGTTAGGAGACGATGCTCTTCTATAATCATTTACTAAAATTGATAGCTGTGACGGACAACTCCAGTTTGTAGTTTTCGGTGGACTCGGAGCAGGTTCATGAAACTTCAGAGTTAACGGACTGGTGTTCGCAAGCTGACCAAAGGGATGATCAATTTCCATATCACTTTTATCTAATCGAGATGACTGATCACATGGATCATTATTATCAATTTCCATGTCAACAGATGTATTCTGATGCACTACTGGTGAATTATGACATAAATCGAAATTTGATGGGCTAGACGCTATAATTGGATTCATTACAACTGTATTCGCATTAGAAATCTGCCCATCAAGCGGAATCTCTTTCGGTATAATCTGTGCATCCATTAATGAAACCGAATGATATTCAGATCCAACTTCTGGACTAGATGGTGCAGGAATTAGATCTTTAGGATCACAATTATCCACATAAGTTTCATTAATAGTAGTAGCAGTTTCTTGAATTTTATTTTGTTGTTCTTCTAACTGTGATTGTTCCTCCGTTGGTTTTTCAGTTTTCTTCTGATATGTTGATGAGATTAACGCAGTAGCAAGAGCATACAAATCCGGTTCATCTGTTGGATAAATTTGACGACGATGAAGTCGTGGATCTAAATGTGGATTATGCTGTAATTTACGATCATTATCATTTGATAATACTCTTGTGTTAGTGATCTCTGTACTATTATTATTATTAGTAGTAGTAATTATTATTATCAGTCACAATATTTTGATGAGCTAATACTGATATTAAAGCTGAACCAAGAAGATTTCGACCACCATCAGTTAATGTTGTGAGAATACGACTTAATGGAAGTTTCAATTGCATAGATGAAGTACATATGGATGCTACAACAAAAAACAATAAAAAAAAGAGATTTATTATAAATATTACTGAATCATAAGTATCTAATCAATGTACAGAAAATCGTCATAAAGGAATACAATTAAAAATAAACAATTACATTAAGTTAACATTATTCGCGGTTTATACAAACTTACGTTGACCGAACCATTTAGCTCAGAGAACAAAACTCCATCAAAATCATCTACCTAAGCTACAACTCTTATATAAACTTTTTTTAAATCTCTAACGTATTTCATTATATTACTACAATAAACGGTATACTATAAGAAATAATCATCATTATGAATACATCTCAAGTAGAAATTAATAGCAGTAATAAATGCATACAGTAAATACAGTGGTCTTGAGTGCTGTTAGAGGAATGAGGGCGGTTATCACTTCCCAGTTGCCCACACCGTGAGAGGGTTCTTCTGGAGGTGAATGAAAAGAAAATTGAATTAGAGGTGGTCTTAGTGACCTGACAGCGTGACCGAAGTGTCCAAGGGACAGCTCCTTGAGGTCGGTCACACACGACCTTTTTATAAGGAATTTACGTGTTAGCTCGGTATTCGTTGAGAGACCTTACCACCGGAGACGGATATCCGTCGGATAAGGCGAGGTATGCATTTTTAGGGTCTACCTTTTCTAACCTCACCCCTCTTTGTGGGAAGGCAACATCGCTGTTATGCTAGTTGTCTGAAAGAAGCATCTTATTGCTGTCACACCTCAGTACAGTCAGCAGTAAGACTGTTTTTGGACCTTGGGTTTTTTGCCTTTAGTCTTACCGCTTTTCAACCAACCAGTCTGACATAGTAGGACTTTAAGGAACGGTTGTAGCCAGTATAGCTCGGTTGCTTCATCACGATAGGTAAGCTCGACCACCACGTCAAGGTAGCAACAACGATTGGGAGCAGTAATAAATAATTCAAACATTTTAAAGTGTATTCAGTAATTCCAAATATATTGGTAATTCATTGTTAAAACAATATTTTAGAATATATTCAGTTTGCGAAAGGACAGTAGATGTAGTTTGTCGTAATTCAGTTTAGTGTAATTCATTGACCATGCACATATGTGTTGTGTACTACGCTATTTAACCTGAAAGTTGTTAGTTGTGTGTGTGGACAATTTCTCCCCTCCTGATTGTACACATTTTGAAAGAATATTTACTTTTGAAGGTTTTGTATTTTATTTATTTACCTAAGCAAATAAACAATGATACAAAGGGAAACCAAAATATATATGCGCCACATAAATCATTGAATTACTGTGTGAGCTGGGAACCCGGATGCTCAAGCCAATGCAGGTGATTTTATTGGGGATCCATTACCAGAAATTTCGGTCTAAATATCTAATTTACAAGGCAGTGGACCTACGTTGAGTGATGCGGTCCTAAGACAGTCTATGATCAAGAACAGGTTCATAAGCTAGTTGTTCCCTCAAGATCCTGAAGTCAATGTGAACCACTGATTTGAAACCAGGGGTTTTTAATTCCCCTGATTGGATCATTTGCACCCACTAACTCAATTTAAGCGCCGGACATCCGTTTATCGTTCCTTTAACAACTTAAAGACGCCCTCGCCACGAGTAAAACTTCCTTGGCAGTGGGTATATACGCGTGGTCATATAACAGCATTTCGAGCGGAAGAGTGGACTCTCCCTTAACTTCGGCCATACCGGGTAATTTAGTGGCCTTGTAACCAAGAACGAATAGTTAATGGTCTTGAAGAACTGTGAGCTCAAGAAATAACTACTTGAGGCCGAACACACACGCTGTTTTGCTGAGAATTCCTCAATGTATTATATCTCTATGTTCTAAAGATCTTACCACCGGTGACGGGAATCTATATGGTAAGGTAAGGTGTGAAATGCTTAGGGTTGACCTGTTTTAAACACTTCCTTTAGTTATAGAAAGGCAGCTTTATTCGAGACGCTGGTTGACTGAAAGAAATACATTAATGTTTGGTCATCAGGATAGGTAAGCCCGAAAACGGAGTTCAGCTTTCAAACTTTAGCCAAAACTGAACCACTAGACTTGAAGATCTCCATGGCGAGCCCATCAGGGCTCCTAGCTTTCTGTTAGTTTAGATTACCTATAACCTTCTCAATTTCATTAACAACAGAGAGAATTGTTTTAATTTCTCATTCTGGTTTGTTTGGACTGTTCTACGAAGTGTTTCGTCCATCGTTCTAATGATCTGAACTGAAACTGGGTCACAGTCTCATTAACATCTGACGTTATTATATCTGTTTTCTCGACCAGTTGGAATAGTTGCCTACTGTTACCTATCACCTTTACCCTTCCCACCTTTAATTTTGCTGACCACTACTGCTTATGAAGACTGAGTAAACGTTACGACATTCTACGTTCAAGTTGCCTTTGCTCTTTGTAGTGTTCTGAGCCTGATATGGTGAGTTTTCGAGCATCTATCAATCCAGCAAAAACTGTTGAAGTCTACTGATCTTCCTTAATTTTTATTTTAAGTCACTGGTGCTTAGCCAGATGTTCGAATATCATCCCAACCGACATCGAGGTGAACATCACCTTGACGACTGACAAACACGTTATGATAGGAAAATCCTTCTTGGGACTTGTGTACAGTACATGTATATACATATATGACAGAAAACTTACTTGTTTTCCGTTGTCCAAATAATTTATCTGTAGATGTTCCCATCGGTATAGTAGAAGCCACTGCAAATGGTGATATATTTGAAGTAGGGGTGACAACATCGTTGTTTGATCGACAACAACACATTTCACTATATGGATATCGATGTAAACTATGAGGTGTAAGTAATATTGCATGTAGAAAATTCCTATCTAAATTATCAACAATAGGTATACCTAAAAAAAGATTAATGTAAATAATTCATTAACAATATAGAAGATTGACAGGTAAGTTATAATACGAGTTTAGAGATATTGAAACATTCAATAAGAGAATGTCAATAATGTAGAAGAGGTATTATTCATATCACAAAAATACAATTTTTAGAAGCATTTCTAAATACTAACAATAATATAAGTTTATCAGTATGGAGATTTATGGAGATTGTAGTATTTCCACAGTTGAATTCATGAGTCGATCTAAGCTAAACCATCATTGGAAACCCGGAAACACTGGATGGCCGTTTTGTTCTAGCACGGTACTCTCCAGTAGTGCGCATCCGTGCTCAACGAAGGTCCTTGGTTTGAGTCCCGTATATGTGATCACGGATGAACACTACTGGAAGGTCCCATATTAGGATTAAATGGCCATCTAGTGTTTCCAGATTTTTAATGATGATCTAACTTAGATTAACTCATGAATTCAACTGTGAAAATATAGGTTTATTTAATATTATATATTAAATAATAGTCAAGAGTTTCGATCGATAAAAGGAATATTCAATATGATAATAAATATTTATCTTATATGAACTTTTATTTTGAACAAATTAGGTTCACTTTACAGTGTAGTGTTCAAATCTCTATTATACATTAAAATAATTAATATTAAATTACATGTTCTTTCATTCGTGAATAGAATGTTGCAGTTTTGAGGTTATATGACAATGATAATAATGAATGGTAACATTTGGGACCCATTTATGGATCAATACTATACGTATATTTTTATCATATAATTTTTAAATGACTAAACTATTCATATTCGTGTTCCTCTTATCATAAACTTTATTTTGACCCATGAACTGTTATGATATGATTTACCATTCTTGAGTTATACCTTGTCTATTAATTACTATCTTCCTTATTCACCGCCACATTTGCCTAAATTTTGTACAAATTTTGTTTCCTACTTTGTGGTGCGTTATGGTCTGTTCAGTTTGTATATAAACCCAGTATGTTTGAAATACATGATTCATATCGCTGAGGCTATGATTGGTGTTCTGGACTTAACGGACTGAGCTAGGCAGAAAGTAGGACCGATAAGGACTCTAGACTGCTCGTACGGGTTTCATGTGTCATTGGTCCGATCGAAAATTTACTTACTTACTTCCTCGCCTGTTACTCCTCGTGAAGGAGCATAGGCCGCTCACCAGCATTCTCCATCCAACCCTGTCCTGGGCAATCCTTTCAAGCTCTTTCCAGTTCTTATTCATCTTTTTCGTATCTGCTTCTATTTCCCGACGTAATGTGTTCTTTGGCCTTCCTCTTTTCCTCTTCCCTTCAGGATTCCAAGTTAGCGCTTGTCTCGTAATGCAGTTTGATGATTTCCTCAATGTATGTCCTATCCATTTCCATCGTCTTTTCCTAATTTCCTCTTCAGCTGGAAGCTGGTTGGTTTTCTCCAACAGAAGGCTGTTGCTGATGGTATCCGGCCAACGGATGTTGAGTATCATGCGTAGACAGCTATTATTAAATACCTGTACCTTCTTGATGGTGGTTGTTGTAGTTCTCCAAGTTTCAGCTCCGTACAGTAGAACTGCCTCGACGTTCGTATTAAAGATTCTGACTTTGATATTGGTTGAAAGTTGTTTTGAGTTCCATATCTTCTTCAGTTGAAGGAATGCCGCTTTAGCTTTGCCAATCCTCGCCTTGACGTCTGCATCTGAACCTCCTTGTTTATCGACGATGCTTCCCAGGTATGTGAAGGATTCTACATCTTCCAGAGTTTCGCCATCAAGCGTGATTGGATTGCTGTTCTCCGTGTTGTGTTTGAGGACCTTGGTTTTCCCTTTGTGTATGTTGATGCCTACTGATGCAGAGACTGCTGCTACTCTGCCTGTCTTTATCTGCATTTGTTCGTGTGTATGTGATAGGAGGGCTAGGTCATCTGAGAAGTCCAAGTCGTCTATCTAATTGGTTCTGAGCTGTCCATCGAAAAATTTACTGTTTTCTAATTGGCGGAGGCACAAGTTATGACAGAGGTGAACACATTTTTCAACATAAATGCATATAGAACTACTTAAAAAGTAACTTCACTTCGAAGAGAAAACAATATATTTGATGAACTTCTGTATTCAATTATTATTAATAACAATAACTAATGGTTTTATTCACTAGTCTGTCCAACCACCGACTGTCCCAACGTGTGATGTTTTATGGTGTAGGAGTAGGTTAAAGGGAATCTAGGGGCGGTCACATCAAAACATGGCACAAATTCATGAAGTCACTGACAAGTAGACTGAGCCATGTTCGTAGGCGTAAACTACTTGGTTGAGATCCACGAGACGACAGCAACCGATGGTTAGAGACCTTGAATCACATGGCTCAAAATCGTTTACAATGGTGCAGGTGCATCCACTCTTTGTGTTCTCCAAAATTCTAATCTTCTGAATTCTTCATGTCCCTTTCTTTTTTTTCTTTTTCCAAATTTATTTCTCTGAATGATACTCTTTGAAAAACACCTTCAAACCCTAATCTATCCGATTACTGCTTATACTCTTACTACCTATACCACTACGGGATTTGAATGGACAATTGTATCTGTGTACTAATATGGTATGTCAACTCGAACTTATATACGCATGTACGCACGTAGAAAGTTTTACGTTGTTACTGACTGACTGATTCATAAGTCGGTTTACACCAAAGATTACATCAAAATGTCATCAGGACGAATTAAACAAATATTGCAACAAATTCTTATTTTAGATTCGTTAACAGTTTATTTCATTGTAATCCTATATGTATTATGAGGGGAAAAAACAACACGTATGTAATAATTAGTAAAAATAGACTACAAAAATAAGTGAATTTTATTGTAGCCTTTTCATGTGTAAAATTGGTCATTCACAGCGTTTGAGCAACCATTATTTACATACGTAATAGTAATAACAATACAACATGATAGCCTACATATTGAATTATATACATACCTATTGACTTGGAAAATTGGCATTCAGGGAATAAAAACATGATACTAGATTCATCACAAGGTATAGAGACAACACCAGCCTAAAATACAAAAAACAGTACAAAGTTTAATGAGGGCTTGTAATTAATTGTAAAAATTTCATATACAGTGCGGTGGTGACTTTAATGACTCTTATATTCAGCCGTGATTAGTTATGCTTTTATCTGATAAGTTGTTTTACTCACTAGTCCAATTCGGTTACAACATACACTTTCTACGGAAAACCAAGCCCATTATAAAAATGACAACACTGAAATAACACTAGAAAGCTGTAGTTTGGTATAACCCGATAATTTGACACGCAAAGCATTGGTATGCATATATTTGCCCTTCTAACGCAGACAAAGGATATGTAGGTTGAAACTCTAGCTAGGAGCGAAATTGACTTCCTCCAATAGCGTGCCTTGATTAGAACGGCTCGCCTACCGTCTTACCTTGAAGTGGTATGTAAACATGTAAATTAATTGAATGAGATATTTGATGGTATTGTTCAATCTCATGCACAATGATAAAGATGAGTTTGTAGTAGCTTTTTCTGCATCCTCAGTTTTGATGTTTAGGCGTAAACATTATGATCAATTCGACCATTTCGGTATTAACTTCACTTCACTGTTACCCAAGTGGAACATGGGTCGTCGACCAGGATTCACCAAACAGCTATAATCTGCGCTATCCTTTTAAGCTGTTTCAAATTTTTTTTATTCATTCTTTTGACATATGCCTCCAATTCCTTGCGCAATGTATTCCTTGGTCTTCCTCTTTTCCGTTTCCCTGCAGGATTCCAAGTTAGGGTTACCCTTGTAATGCAGTTCAATGATTTTCTCAGTGTATGCCCTACCCACCTCCGGCGTCTTTTCTTAATTTCCTCTTTACATGGAAATCAGTTTGTTTTCTACTATAGTGGGTTGTTCCTGATGGTACCCAACCAATGGATTTGAAGTACCTTGCGTAGAATACTGTCTATGAATACTTGTGCTTTTTTAATAATATGGCACGTTTAGATGTACACAATAATCACTTTCTGTCCCATCATTCTTCATGCAAATGTATGGCAATCTTGGAGTGACGCACTTTTGTATCAAATCTCATTCGTGGTAGATTGACAGAAATCATGGATATACAATTGTCTTAATAAAAATGTTAAGTTTATTTTAGACTATCTTGCCTTTTTCTAATTATTGGGCTTATTATATAATTTCCTATTATAAAAATAAAGTGACTTGAAGTGATTCATCCAGTAACTTAATAAAGTTCTTATTTCGCTTAGTTAAACATTATAAAATATGATCTGGATGTATGTATTGGGTACGATACACATAATTGACATTGAAAATAAGTTATATTCGATAAACAAATTAAAAGTAAAAGTTGGACTTGTACACCACTGAATCCCTGCTCAGTAATCTATAGGTTAAGAATCCACGTGTGAGATTGAAAGTTATGTGTTTGATTCCCGACTGCGAGGCCGTGGATGCGCATTCCCGAGGAGTCCCAATACTATGAAACGACAATTAAGTGCTTCCAGATTCCCAATAGTTGTTTAGTTGAAACCGGTTAGTGATCTTAATGAAATTAAAAGTAGTTTGAGGAAAATTCATTTACAACGAACAATTAAATATCTATTTATTCACCATTGCACTATTCTGTAAGGCTTGACATAATTGTGCCATTTCTGTCCGACGTCCACCAGATTCATCGTGCAATGTTAGACGGAAATAATTACCTCGATAACCACCAAATGGACTTGGATCCGACTGCAGTGATGATGCTTTAACAGGATTCAAACGAGGAAGGCACCATTCTTGATCACGTGGGACAGAGACTAAGACTGGAGGTCCATTCAAATCGAATGGTTTCGTTGTCCAAGGTTGTAAACCAGCAAGTTCATAGTGTAAAGATGTATGAGCAACTAATCGTTGTATATGTAGGCATGGTTGAAGTCTATAAATTTTTTTTACAAAAAAAGCTTCCTTATAGAGTACCTGTATAAGCACGATTTAAAAACACTGTCAAAATCTTAAATGTGAATACATATTAAATATTTGATGATGGGTAATAATTAACAGCAAAATATAAAAATCTTTGAACGTTCTCATGAACTGTAATAGTACACAATAATTAGTCAATAAATTAGAAATATCAGCATCTACTGATGCGATTGTATTTGAACATTGGTGAAATGGTCAAGTTTTAATGGTTGTTTAGTGATTACAGCATTGAATTCATAAGTATGAACTCGATTTACCTATTTCAATTTTGAAAATCAAACACTATCATTGTTAATGTATCAGAACGAAAAGTGAAGAAATGTTAACTCCGAGAACTAGTTCATAGATCTTGAATACGATATATATTCTCATTGCATAATTACTGAGTTAGCTTATGTTCTATCCATTGACTATTGTTGTCAATGTTTTATAGATTGCCTTATTCACAGCCACTTTTGGCTGTTGTGATTTTTCATTTTATAGTGTGATCTGCTCATGTTTGTATATAAACTCACGTAAACTCAAGACAATATAATAGAGGCTGGCTCCTGATTTCTCTCTGGTTAAGAGACAAAGAGGTGCTCTCACAGATAGTGGACAAAAAGGAGCATAGCTTGAGTTGGATAAAGGTTAACGGTACTAATCAGGCGTGTAATTGGTCAATTCTAGGATACTAGGCTACGGAAGAGATAGTAGACGCGGCGAAGTGATAGATTAGAATTCTGATTGGTGACTTTAACACATGACCTGGATTGATGTATCTTAAATTATAACAAATTGAAAATCACGAGATACAACAACTAGTCCCATACAAAAAAGTCACTTGAATTCTGAATACTAGAATCTTAACTAATTTATTAAACAACTTAACCAATAGCCGCAATGTCATGTATGACAGATTGATGTTAGTTTCGCTTCACATAGTACAATATTCAATATCTGTTTTAAAGTCAACCAGTAAATTCACAGATATTAATGAAGGACACCGAATTGGTGTTGTGATGTTTAGAGTAAATCCCATCATTGTTTAAGTGTTAGAAAAGTTAGACAAATAATTTGTAACATTTTTCGTTTCCTTCTGCGATATACTACGCTAAAACGGTGATCTGATAATAAAACTGGTCTGGATGATTGAGTTTATAATATCGATAGATTGGATACTCAAACAATACAAAATACAGACTAGATCGTGTTATATTAGATCCAGGATTTACGATCAAAAATAGCGAACAAAAGTAACGCTAAATAATACTTGATTCAATATAATTACAAAAAGTCACATTCAGTGACTCTCAATGGGAACAAAGGAAATCCCATATCTAATAATCAGTAAATTGAATCCCTCGTTGTACACACTTAATGACCAATCATATTTACTTTCACTACCACATATTACACAGTACTACAATACTTACATGCCATCGAATACAGTTATTTCACCTTTACGAAAAGTTGATATTTCCACTGCCAATGAATATTCCGGTTTTGGATAGCCCCATACAAGTAATGAAACTCCAATAACAGTTGAAGGTAATTCATCAACAATTGTATTATTATGATTACGATTATCATAATTTATTGCTCCACCACTACCAGCACTACTTATATTACTCATTGTGTTATTATCAATAGGGTTAATACTTTCAGAAAATTGAAACAAATTACAATTTGCTTGCAATTTTCGTGCATTTGCAATATAAATATTTAAAACACCAGAATCTTGCCGCTTTGATCTTTGTACCGGAGATGATAATTGATCTGAATTATCATCTGACCCGACAGTGGAAACAGAACCAACAGTAGATATAGTAGTATTGACAGGAGGGCTTTGAAGTACACTATTATTATTATTACTGAGTGAAGTAGGACTAGGTAGAAGTGCAGGTGTTTTATATCTGTAACGATTTTTACATCCTGACACATTAGAATGAGCAATTTTCTAAAGTGTAGTGAAAATAATTAGATAAATATTATTAACAGAAGGGGTTTTGTGGAGATTTTAGTAATTTCAATAGTTGAACTCATGACTCAATTGAAGCTAGACCACCATGGAAAACCTGAAAGCACTGGACGGCCGTTTCGTTCTATTGTGGGACTCCTCAGCAATGCACATCCACGATCCGGCCCCGTGAGATTTGAACACAGGACCTACCAATCTCGTGCGCGAGCGCTTAACCACTAGACCACTGAGCCTGTATCCAACGGTGTTAATGTCTAACTTCAACCAATCCAGGAAATTGCGCCACCGTCGCCATTGTCTTCAGTGAGCTGATATCTCATAATAGACCTGGTTGAACTCCATTGGTCACGACCTCCCACTAGAACTCTAGGAGTGTCTCTTGAAGTCAGTCACGAGATCGGTAGGTCCTGTGTTCAAATCTCACGGGGCCGGATCGTGGATGTGCATTGCTGAGGAGTCTCACAATAGAACGAAATGGCCGTTCAGTGCTTTCAGGTTTTCCATGGTGGTCCAGCTTCAATTGAGTCATGAGTTCGACTATTAAAATATTATTAAAACGTTTATATTTTATATAACAAGAACATTTGATAAATATTATTAATAAATATATACAATACTACTGTTATGTGATTCAGTAGAATCAATTCAATAATTGACCAAAACAACTTGCATTATTCATAGTTATTTATCTACTATAAAGCCTTTTCAATTTTTGATTGTTAAAATTTATTTCTTCAGTATAATTTGTATTTTTTTGTAAAAAAAAGTAAAGAAAGTTGACTGGACAATACCATCAAACGCTTGGCATAACCACGGACTATTATCCGAACATGCAACAACATAAACTAGCACATGAGTAAGTTGATAGAAGAGCTAAGATCAGTCGAATAATGATGTAGAATGAGTTCATAAATAAATTGGAATAGATCGTGCAAACCAGTGGAGATTTATTGTAAACAACGATAGGTTAAAGGTCAACAACAGTCAATTAAGATAGAGTTCGACAGGACAAGCTGCGAGTCATATATGGAGAAGTTCGAATACTTCACTTCTACATGGAGTTTGTTCTGATGATATTATTCAGAAGAATAATGAAAGCTTCATGACAATACCATCCAGCTGAGAGAACAAAACTCTACCTAAATGTCAACCAATAAATGTAAACTTCTTGGTTGAAATCGTTTATAATTTAAAAAGCGGCCTGATATGGCTCAAAGTTGACCGAATTAGTGTATAATTGCATTTGCTTTTCACCATTTCTTAAAATCTTTAGTTGTGTCATGCTAATTTCATTTATTCCCATCAAATCTAATACTGTGTTCAGTTCGTTCTTCTTCAGATATTGATTTGACATAAAATGGTAATGCTGACATAAATCGTTGAAGTCATTTGAGTTAACTTGTCCCCAAATGCCCTGCTATGGCCGAGAGTGGGTAGAGTCTGCTCACCCTCTCGAAATGCTCTCACACCGACACACGTATACAGCCGCTGCCGGGGAAGTTCTACTCACTGCCTTCTCGCACCACGAGTGTTGTTTACGAAAATGAGAGGACGAAAAGTGAATGTCCAGCGCTTTAACCGGATCCCAAACCAATCGTGCACATAGGCTCCAGTATCCTGAAGGAACAAATGGTGTATGAAATAATCGTTGGTCACCGGCTACCATGGGACTGCATCTCCTCACGATGCTCCACTGCCTTGTGGGTCAGATCTTTAGATCAAAGGCTCGGGGTGTGGTCCCCTGAGAAAACCTTCTGCTTCAGTCTGGGCACCCGGACGGTATCACAGCCCACACACAAATAAAATGAAAATTTGTGTGGTGCATATATATTTGGTGCCTCCCTGTACCAATATATATGTATTCAAATAAATAAATAATAAATAAATAGACTATTTGATAAAAGCACAAGAATATTAGTAACAAAGTGTATAGCTTATTTTCTTTTTAAAAAACGAAGTTAGAACAAAATGAAAATGAAGCAAAACATCTATCAACAACACTTACGGATTTTGATTTATTATCAAAATTCAACATTACAGGTTTATGTGATGATTGAGCACGAGAAGACTTCTTATGAATACGAGGGATTTGCGGAGTCGGCAGTAGAGCTGTACGTGATACAGACAAAAGACATGAGATATCTAGTTGTGGTGAAATAATCAAAATGGAACCACTAGCTACAGAGATTGTATCGAGTTTTGAAGCTACATCGGAAGTCAACATCCAACGACATTTTAAAACAGCATAGGGAATTACATGTTCTAGCTTTGTGCGTAATTCTAAATCTTCATCAAATTCGTATAAATACACCTGAAACCGAAGTGTATAGAAATGTTATAAAAATGATGGTAATTATTATCGTCATGCAATTTACATCATTTCGTCTTTTTAATATCGTGCATAGTCTAATCATTAAACTCAGTTATTGATTGGTTGTCTATCAGTCATAAATAATACAAAGCCTAATACACATATGCATCAGTTTACATTGCCACACAGTAGCTTCTGCCTTGATGTGATGATCGGTTGCGCCTATCATGATAATCCGATCAAGCTATATTGACTGGAGTTGTTTTTAGGTTCTACTATATCAGGTAGGTCGGCAGCAGAACAGTAAGATTAGAAACAACAAGCTTATGGTCTGGGGGCGAAGTCGTATTGCTGACTGTACAACGTTGTGACGGCTGTAAGATGTTTTTGTCAGGCAACCAGCATCTGCAGTGAAGCTACCTTTTTAAAACGGAAGGAAGGGTTTAGAAAAGGTTGACCCAAGAAATGTCACACTTTACCTTACCCTAACGGATTTCCGTCGTCGGTAGTAAGGCTTTTTGAAGTACATAGCAGACACAAAAAACTGGCAAAAAACATCTGTATTTACAATTCCCATCCGTTAAAACCATTAATAATCCGACCTCGCCTTCCACGGTGTGGGCGGTTGGGAAGTGGCAACCGTACAGGGGTTTCTAACATCGCTCGAAATTGACTGGGTGACCAACCAACTTTCCGTTAAGTGACATTCTTTTCAAAATAAAAAAGAAGAAACTCTTCTATTACCACTACGTCCAGAAAGACAATATGACCGGTGTAGCGTAGATTTAATTAGGGCTTTACCGGCGTGCAACGTCAGCCCCTATTCTTTTCTAAGTATTTTAATACCTTAATTTATACGATGAGATGACATTTAAAGCAATACTCACTTTCATACTCCTGCTAACACAAAAGCCTACCTGTTCGATGTCCTGATTTCCTTTCTTCATTATATTTCATTGTTAGTAACCTTATTGCAAGTCCGTCTTTACTTTGAGCTCAATGAAATACCATTTTTAATAATATGAAAATATAGTACTATTACTTGAAACTTGTAACGTTAGAGCTTTGTGTCGAATCGAACAGCACGCTCCTCTAGTTTTTATTTTTATTTTTTTATTTATTTAAACACATAAATATTGGTACAGGGGGCACCAAATATATATGCGCCACACTATATATGCTCCTCTAGTTCAAGAGCTGATACTCCGAGATATAGAAGCGCTTTGCGTTTTAGAAGTATATACACAGAATTTAAGTGTTTATTCTTTTAACCTTGCAATATATATGCATATCTTAGCAAGACTGTCATCAAAAAATTATATGCAGTTTGTTTTATGGCTTGTATATTTATGTATTATCAAGCCTGTTAAGTTTTAATTATGTAGTATGCTAGTGTAAGTGCACTGGACTTGTCTCAAACCATAACAAAAATTGCGTGAGAACAATATGTATATTCCAATAAATCCGAATGACAAAATATATGGCAGCGAAAACAAGCATTTACATATATTTCATAGCAGAAGATTCCAATCTATTCTAGGGTCATTCACTAGGATTTGTTCGATATAACATGTAAATCCATAATTGGTGTTAGATGTGTCACCTCTATTGACAACTTAAAAAGAGCTATCAGGTTATTGTGTAGAATATCAAACTTACAGAGTACAGTTCAGTTTGAAATAATTATGATGCGCGACTATCTATCAAATTTGTCAAAATATATGGGCCAAAGTAGATAAAACTTACTTGAGATAAATGAAATGCTTGTTCCAAAGTTAATTTACTCGGATCTAATAAGTCCATACGAGACCAGGTCGAAACATGGCAAGCATAACCGGGTTGAGGTTCTAAACGATCTTTGCTATTCTCAGCTTCTGGCGATACAATATACGCTCGAGACTTGATCCAACGAACCATAATTAAGTAAAGAAACTGATTACTATTTTTACACGACAAACGACTTTGCTCTCGAGCGATTGTTAGATCTGCACACTGATTTACTGATAGACCTGAAGATTTTAAATAATGTGAAATTTTTATAAATTGTCAGGAAACCTGTGACATTTGAACTAGATGAGAGTAGATACCTGTTAATTAGTCAGTCAGTTGGGTCCTCCATTTCTAAATTCGTAGAAATCAAATATAAACATTCTACTGAATAGTATGCCCCCACCAAATGCCATGTTACAGCTAAAAGTGTGATTTCACTTTCCTCAAAATCCTCTTATACGATCATGTGTTTATAGCCTCCACCAGAGAAATCCTACTCACTAGCTTTACGCAGCGGAAGATGAAAACCAAAGGCCTCTCGCCTAAAGAGCAGGTGAATAAGGAGCATTCACCTAGAGGAATCGGAAAATCCTGATTCCGAATCGATTGTAAACACGTACTCCAGGATCCTGAAAAAACGAACAGTATATGAACCTATTTTGGTTACCGGCTACTCTACTATGAGGCAGCATCTCCTAGAGTTCCTACAGTCTTGTGGATTGGATTTCTAGGTCAAAAACTTCGGAATTCGCCTTCTAAGAAAACTGCCTTAGTTTGAGTACCTCGACAATATCTCAGCCCATATAAAAAAGGGTACGCATGACTGAACGTTATTTGTCAGTATAAAATGGATTAGTAGATTAATATAAAATGAAAGTTGGATTGAAGCTCATATTTTGTCAACCAGTAACAAATTTTCTTAACTAAAATTAACAATTTGTTACTGAATAAGAGAATTGAAGTTAAAAACACCAAGTAATTAAGAAAGAATACATCTGAATAGATCAAACACTCACCTAACTTTTGTTGACCAAGCCAAGTGTCTGGATCATTACCAGGAATAAGACCATCACTAGCGATTTTTTCAACATCATTCCAACTACTAACCACCAAAAAACCAGTACACAAACTTGATTCTACGCCTGTAACAATATTGTTGATAGGATTTTTTTGAAATCTTTTACGAGCTTGAGAAAATAAGTCTTCTAATGTTTTATTATGAATAAACCAAGCTTTTTCAACATCAAAATAAGATGAAAGTTGAGGAAAACGAAAACTCTGATTAATTTGAGGATAAATTTCTTCTGAATAATCCACAGAATTTAAATCAACATTTTGAAGAAGTGCTTTAAGTTAAACAAATGAAGAAAAACAATTATATCATAAAACAAACTGATTTTTACTTTCAAAAAGGTCAATATTATAAACTGAGAAGTAAAACTGTATGAACTAACAGAAATAATCAATTACACTTAAGTAGAATGATCTTTTTGAGATGCTAGTTATTTTGAATTGAAATAAAAATACAAAATAACGTATAAAACTTTTTATTTATTTATTTAATTGAACACATAGATATCGGTACAAAGAAGCACCAGTCAGTCACTCAGCTGTAACGTAGGACCAGGCACGTATATGCATCGGTCCAAGTTGCCATACCGCATTAGCACAAGATGAACACCGGATTCATAGAAGTAGTTAATTCAGTGGTGGTAATATATAGAAGATTGTGTGCAAGGATATAGTAAAAGAAGCACCAGATACATATGCGCCACACAAATTTCATTCGATTTGTGTGAAGGCTGTGATACTGACCGGGTGCCCAGACCGAAGCAAGCGGTCTTCTTAGGAGGCCACACCCGGAGCCTTCGACCTAAATGTCTAATCCACAAGGCAGTGGAGCATCGTAAGGAGATGCAGTCCCATGGTAACTGATGAACAATGATTGGTCCATACACTGCAACAGCAATTTTATGAAAATGTATGAGCATGTTACACGTGAACCATGTAAGATCAGTATTTAAACTGCATTAACAAACCAATATACATAAGCGTCGATGATTTTTGATAGAATTATGTGTGAATTGGCCTCAGTGGTGTTGAGAGATGTTGCAATTCATGATTTGAAAACCCTTGGAGGGACTGCTCGATATCCATCACGATGTAGAAAGCTGATCTTCGTTTTTATCTACTCTCAAATACAAGCATATTACTGCTCTGTGTCGTCCTGTTTCAATGAACTATGAATAACGGGTGAATCCGGTGTTCATTTTGTTGTACTAATGCGGTATGGCAACTTGGACCGATGCATATACGTGCCTGGTCCTACGTTGCAGCTGACTGACTGACTGAATAACGGGTGAGATTATAATTTATGGACGACCTTTAAGCTTACTCTTCCCGAATTTTCAGTGATAACAGCAATCTCAGTAGACTCACTATACGCTGCTGCTTCATCTTTATTAAGTGGTCTTAACACGGAATTGTTGCATCAACATTACCACGAATAGAAATTCTCCGCTAATAGGTGTGACTATGTTCATTTTTGACAGACTGTAATAGCATGTCATGCCACAATAGTCTCACTTTCACAAGACATTTTTACAATATATATCGAACTATACTTTCTAAGAAAGATAATTCATCAAAGCAAAGGCAGTACAACATTAGTGAATCTCCAATAACATATGTTATTGGAGTATATACTCAGTCCAATGTGCACACAGATACAAAACGCGCGTAATTTGAAGATTTTTACGAAAATACAAATACAAAGAGCTTAAAAGTTATGTATACCATAAAGGGATTAGTGGACCCTCAATAATTAAGTGATTCCAACAAAACATGAGGAACGGGAAAAACAATGCAACCCAAACTCAAGAAGACACAAACAGTTGAGATCTTACTCACATAAATTATTTTGCTTTTTCGGAACCTTAAAAGAATTGAGTGCTTCCAGTCCAGCCAAAACAGATGCTTTCCTTTTGTAGGAGGATCTCTTACGAGAAGTCATCAGTCATACCAACATTTTGAGTTAGGCGCTAACCAATGAGTGTAGCCACATATTTTCAATTTCCAGATGTACATTCAAGGCCTGTGAGTAACCTTCCGTTCCAGCGGTCGATAAATGTAAGAGAACCAAGTGGTTAAGATGGTTTTGAATTGAATATAAGAAGCTATCGTTTAACAAGCCTCTGCATCTAGTAACTGCGAATCTTACAAGCGCGCTATTTAAAGAGCCAGTGGTATTTCTCATCTCTGAGTAAATTTTATTGTTTTGATAGTTTATTACGTATCAAGACTACTTTTCGCACTTAATTGAATTTATTTCAGTTAAAGTATCCCATAAGAACATCGTTTGTGTTTCTAAAGTAGTTTGTCGTCGGTACATTTGAGTACTTTGTTTTCTATTGCATTTGTTAGTACTTTTGGTCCTGACAATTTACAGTTTTTCACTTTTTTCGGTCATAGATCATTTTGTCTCTCAGTGCTATTGTATATAATTTCTTTTTAAAGACGTCTGTTCGATGATTGGACAGGTAAAAAAAGCAATTGCCAACATCCGTGCTGTCACTATCCCGTTGAATGAGGTATGCAATGCGCTGAAAATCTAGTACCACACAGTTCGCACGAATTCGACACTTGATACTTTCGAACGTCTTAGTAAAAATGGTTGCGTATGGCTTTGTCACTAGTGCTGTTCGGACGCAAACAGCTTGGTAAATGTTGCGAAAAAATGTTTTAGCAAGCAAGATTTGGACACATCGGATAGAACTCACCCTGTCGACACGCAAACTGATATGAAGCAACTTCAGTTGAGATCTGAAACAGCTGGCCCACATCGATCAAATGAGAAAAGGCGGTTTTGAAAGATGTCTGTCTCAATTAAAATGTCAGGAAAGGAAGTTCCCTCTGTCCTACGTCCTCTAAATTGCGTCTGGCAGTAAACGCCTAGGAATCGCAATCGCAAAGCTCAATCTGTTTCTAGCATAGAATACAAACTGACTTCCCAAGTCTTTGATAACCCTCCGAAATCCCACAGTATGCTTGACTCGACTGTAATCGCTAAGCCAACGAAAGTTGAGGAATGGGTACACGTCGTAAGCAAGAAATGACATAACGATAAAAAGAGAATCCTACCTTTCTAAAAGTAGCCGAGAAATTAAAGACTGATCACAATGGCAGGTCAGTTATTTTTCATAGAATCAAGGAGAGCGAAAGCTCTGAACCGAAAACTCGTTTTGAACATGACATTGGGTTGATAAAACAGCTATCAAATTAACTTATGACTCACAATAACTCCGGAGTCACCTTTCTAAAGATGTAAAGACTAGGTAGTCAAACGAGCGGAAAACCGAATCAAACCAGACTGCTCAAAGTAATGTTCAGATTTCCTAATGAGCGTGACTTGATTTAACAGAATGGACATAAACGGTTCAGTAGTTTTTCCATTAGGACTTTCCTGTGACAGACCGTGTAAAAAGACGGGAAGCTGAAAAAGAACTACAACTTGGACCAGATGCTGGAGAAAAAGAAATAAAACCCATAAAGTTTTGGGTTGTGATGCTTCAATAGAGAATGGTACCGAAGCCACTCTAGGTGCAGCACCAAGTCATTTAAATGGACTTCGGATCTGTTACACTAATACCCGAAGCTCGCTCAATAAGTTATAGGAACTAGGTGTACGATTGACCATGCAAAGCCAGATGTGATTGCAGTCACAGAAACTTGTCTGACGCAGCCTGCAGATAATATGAAACATGATTTTGAGGGATTTACGTTAGTAAGTGCAGACAGAATAGAGATGCGTAAAGGAGGGGGAGTAGCTCTATTCATTAAGAATGCTACCCCATTTGCCATTATCGATAGTGTACTCCATGAGAATGGAAAATGTGAATTAGTTAATTGCCACTTGAAACGCAAGGGGCAAGAGCTGCTGATTACTTTGGTCTATCGTAGTCCAAGCTGTGAGGTAAGTGAGGTCTTGCTAGGTACTCCCAATACTTCGTCACAAAGTGGTCGATACCTAATCCTAGGATACTTTAGTGCACCCATGGTAGACTGGAAAAATCTGCTAACTGATTCGTCAGATAATTTCTTCGAGCAGGAGCTACTTGATGCGGGTATCATATATGCCTTAGTACAACATGTGAAAGAAGAGACTAGGTAAGATACGGACTCTGAATCATCATTACTAGATCTTATAATGACTCATTATGAGGATGACGTTACGAACCTCGATTACATGCCACCCCTAGGTAAAAGTGATCATGCAGTTCTAACCTTTGACTTCCATGTAGTTGTCAATCATGAGCACGCATCAGCTCAATCCAGACCTAACGTCTAGAAAGATATCATACACTCAGCCTCGCCAGTAGATTAGACAATAGACCCAGAGTCCCCAATTGAAATGGCTAGGGACGTATTTCGAAACTTATACTTGAAACTTACCGCAACCCACATCCCTTGGACTACACCGAGGGGTCCGAGAAACTCATCACCTTGGTTCAGTAGGGAGATTCGCATCCTTTTCCTTAAGAGAAGGAAAATGTGGGATAGATTTAGGTTACTGAGGACTGATGAGACAGAATCTTAGTATCGCAAAGCTCGGAATACCTGTGCCTCGACCCTACGTATGTCTAGAAGGTTGTACGAAGAGAAAATTGTCAAGGATTCCATAGAATGTACTAAACACTTGTACTCTTATGTAAACCAAAGAACAAAAAGAAGAGGAACTATTACTGAAATATCGGGAGACAGTACTGCTACATCATTAGTGGAGGACAACTTCGGTAAGGCTCAAGTATTCTCAAACTACTTTAGTAATGTATATACCATAAAACACCCTTCCCGTCAGCGCATACTAACCCCCACACATGCACTGGATAGCGTGACCATTAAAGAACTCGATGTCTTTGGTCTGCTAAATAAGCTTGACATAGGTAAATCCACGAGACCCGAAAATTGCATCCTAAGTCACTAAAGTAATCATCTAACTTCGTTGCGAACCCTTTAAGTATATACTTTAAGCTATCCGTAACGCAGGGTCGTTTACCAAAACGAAACATAAACCTGAGAATTACTGACCCGTTAGCCCAACTAGTGTGGTTGTTAAAACCTTAGAAGAGATTACTCGGAAGGAGCTGTTTAAGTACCTCGATGTAAACCGAATCCTTTCGGAGAAGCAGTACGGTTTCAGAATAGGTTGTCCTTGTCCCACCAACTTATTAGTCGCTCGTGAAAGCTGGTGCGCTACTAAGGACCAAAAGTTACCTGTAGACATAGCCTACATTGATTTCAGCAAAGCTTTTGACAAAGCCCCGCACAGCCGGGTGTTATATAAGCTAAAAAATGTCGGAATTGGAGGCAATCTATTGATGTGGATAGAAGACTTCTTAGTTGGGCGCCAACAAAGAGTACGGGTGAACTCAAAGTTATCTAGCTGGGAAGCTATGTTTAGTGGAGTGGCCCAGGGTACAGTTTGGGGGCCCATGCTATGTCTCTTATATGTAAATGACCTTCCTCGCTTACTATCATCATCGGTCTTGTCATATGCTGACGATGTCAAGATATGGAGAACGATACGATGCAAGGGTGATAGCTTAGAACTCCAAAATGACCTGGAGAAATTATCTGAATTGTCTCAAACTTGGCAGTTGCCGATAAATGCTTCCAAGTGTGTTATGATGCGTTTCGGTCATCAAGGTACAGATACATACACGATGAATAACAGAGATACCTGTTGTCCAGACATACAATGACTTAGGAGTCATCGTTAGCCAAGACTTAAAGACTACTGCACACTGCCGTGCAATAGCCTCAAAAGGTTTCAGAACTTTATGGTCAATATGTAGGGCTTTTACTCATGTCGACGCTAAAACGTTTCTGACTTTGTATACAGTGTTCGTGCTTCCTCAACTTGAGTACTGCATACAAGCGGCTGGCCCCTTCTTAAAAAAAGACAAAGAGCTTTTGGAAAAGGTCCAGAGAACAACAACTAAGCTGATTCCCGGAATAGCAAAACTTTCGTATGATGCTTGACTGGCCAAGCTAAACCGTTTCCCTTTGTCATATCGTAGAACTAGAGGCAACTTGATTACAGTTTTCAAATTGCTTAGTGATAAATTTGCACCTGATATGCCCTCATTTCTCTTGTCTACCAAAACAGAGAATTTACGAGGGCACTCCAAAAAAGTTCACAAGCCCAGAACAAATTACTTGTCAGTTGACCATCGACTTTCCCATCTAATTATCAGCGAGTGGAACCCATTGCCTCAGCACGTTGTTGGGGCTCCATCCATCAAAAGAAAGTTGGATCAACTGAGAGAACACCATTTCCAGGGCTAACACAGGCCATCAAGCCTCCTGTCGTTTCCAAACTGAAACTGACACCTCCAGATAGGAACCTAGGTATATTCGAAGGTGCCACAGGTAGTCGCAGTTTAACAGCGCCTAAACCAGTAATACCTTTATAGTAGAAGTATTCCAACCCAGTCAAACCAGAGGTCAGGAATAGAGGAGTTCAAGAATATATGTGTAAGGCTGTCAATATGTTGAAGGAACGTTTGGTCTAAGCTGGCTGGCACTTGAAACGGATGCATGGGACTACGTGCCCCCCATTGATCTGGTGCGGATGCGTGACAAAAGGCCTTCAGCAGGATGTGTCCAACTAAACGAATGTGGTCAGCATCAAATCTCGAAGACTCACAGGGCTGTTGAGTTTGGTTTTTTATTTACCACTACATAGTTAACGACAAAAGAAAAACTTTAGTAAATTAAGTTGAGACACTGTCCTGAGTCCTTAGGAATATATCACGTTTTCTCTTAAATGACTCCCGGGAAGTCCCTTTGAATACATCGCACGGCAGCAGATTCCAGAGTTTGAATGCTCGTAAACAGTAAGAGGTGTACCTAAAGTCCACTCAGATATACTGTGTCCCTCATTTCTAGACGTTCACCGCATGCTTTGTGTTGGGAATTAAATCGAATAAATAGCTAACTAGATGTCCAGAA